ATTAAACGAAACATCTTAACAGTTTCTTGAACATGTAAACTTTTTTTGCCTTTTCCTTAATTCTTTCTATTCCCCCCTCCCAAGCCGTCGTTATTATTTTTGGTATTTATTCGTGTATTTTTTTCCTCCCCTCGTCTCCACTTGTTTCTGTGTTATCACACTAGGTGAATTTAATTAAAAATGTGTCACGAATTCGCCACCTACTGCGGTGATGGAAACGGACGAAGGAGTCGGTATTGAAATTAAAAAGTCGCTCTCCGTGTGTTTTTATACTTGAAAAGGGTACGAGGACGCCAACGCCGCCGCACAAGAGTTGCCCGTTGACGACGGTAAATCAACAGCCGTTTCTCCGCGCATAGATGTTCATCTCTCGAAAGTCTCCACAAAAGAAAACTATTTAAACCCGTAACGATAACGTGCGGGATAAAAGGAGGCGCGGTGGATTACAAGGATACGAGTACGCGGCTGCGGCGCAAGAGAGGGCGGAAAGTTTTTTTCTTCTTATTCTTCACTCCGCGCCGTCCGATTACGTCCCTCCGCGTGTCGATCCGGCGCACGAGAGCCAAGTGAACTGCATGTTTGTTGGACTAAAATTCTTTTATGTTTCGCGGTAGAATAGCTGTAAATCCTTCCGGAACTGGCCCACGTAATTGAATCTCCTTTGTTGTCAGCGCGGGATGGATACACGTCTATAAAATATCCGAGGCGAAACGAAAGGGTGAGAGTAACTGGTAAAGAAGAGGGAAAAAAATTAATAAAATACGTTATTAAAGGTTTTGTGGGTATAAATATATATACGAGTATATAAGTGTTTGAGTGATGGACACGATCATATGGACGTTGTCTATTGTTACTATATTATATACGACGTACACGCGCTTGTGTTTCTATTTTATTATTATTAGTTTTATTTATTTATTTGCTTTTGTTTTCTTTTTCGGCGAACGATTGTACTATATAAATATGTGTATTACAGTTTGCCACTCGTATCGTCACTCTGTCCACTCATATTCAATCGCATCGTGGAAATAATAAAAATAAAAATCATTATTATTATATGTCATGGGGAAATAAAACTTTTTCGACTGTCACTAGTGATAAAAAAAAAAAAAAAGTAAAATAAAACACTGCACACCTCGAATATAATAAATGTGTATAGTAGGTATGCGCATTCCTTGCGTACACATTTGAATAATGAAAGAGCAACACAATCTCTGACTTTAATACGTTACCATGACCAAGTTTGGATTCAATTCCGCGAGAAAACGAACGGTCGTAAAACATGCGAGAAAAGTTTTTATTATTCTATTATTATTATCATTCACGCGTACACAGATATATTGCAATACATCACATGATATGCATTACCTGTTGTGCGGTTCGCCCGCGACATGACGCATTCACGTGTACGGCGACCGCGTTGCAGCTACGACGATTATCCGACGGTAATGTTATTGTACGGGAAACGCGACCGCGGTCCGGGAATAGAGTCGAAACGGTAGGGATTGTTTTTAAAAAAGCTTCGATCGGATTACGAATCGGGCCCCGGCGATGCGGCAATCATTATTAATTAAAGACGGATCCACGGGGGGGGGGGGTCAACCCCCCAAATTACGAAAAATATATATTAAAAATCAATAATTTTATGAATTAAGAAACATAAATAAGTCATTATTTATATAACTTACTATTATCTTAATTCATTATCAATCACTGACTGCAATGTTATAAAAAATATCCCAAGGGAAAACATTTTTCAAAAACCCCCCCAAAAGAAAATCCCGGATCCTGTTACTGCTACCCCCGTGAGACAGTACCCGCCGGGTGTTGATTCGTTTTTTCTTTGGCGTGCCCGTTAATCATATTATAGTCACGTTGCCGTCAAACGTAAGTCAACAAGCTGAAAACGGCTCTACCACGTTCGACTTGAAATGAAAATCAATTTCACCCGGCCGCGTGGACACCAACACGACTGTCCATGAAGCAACAAAATGATTAAAAAAATGCCCGTAATCCATTTGTGTCACTTTGCTAATAACAGTACAGACAAAATGCATTCGAAAACCAATAATATTTACGATACGAATTTCAGATTCAAAAGAAACAGAAAAAAATACAAAATAAAAAAAATAAAAATAAAAATGCTTACACATGTGAAAGAAATACATCGATTCTCTTTTCGAGTATTAACTGATCAATAATTCGTTGCAATTGTGAAGCTTAACAATTGTTCACCAAAAATGTTCATAAAAAATAAATCCATTCCGGTACACCATTCGGTAATATATGTACGATGAAATCACGAAGTTTAAAAGGCTTTAGATGATCTCCCAACGATAACTTTGTTTTAACTACATTGTATCTCGGTTTGATTTTAACGTTTTGCCCGAATTACGAATTTAATCCGAAAAACACAGACTAGTAGTAAAAAAGAACTACATACAAGTTGATTCTAAGTAGATCCAGCATTAGATTAAAAAAAAAAAAAAACCCACAATTATTAAGGATTTACCTGATTTAAATATTACCAAAAATGTTACTTGTATATTTTGAGTCTGAATTAAAGAAAATATTTAAGTCAACCCTTCCCTCCTTAGAAGTAAGTCTAAATACGCCCCTGGCCGGTATGGGGAACAGCTTGTGCTACAGCACCGGTCTTGTGTGCGAGCGACGTAAACGGACCGAAAATCGAAAAGACACGTATTAATCACGGCCCGACGGATTTATTCGAAACTTTTCCGTTGCCTCGGCAATCCAATTACATTATATTACGCGAGTACATGCAGCGTTGCGCGTGACGTTCTTCGGGCGAATGCGACGTTTTTCACTTGTCCCGAGAAATGTTTTTCCTAGTAATATACTCTACTAAACTTCGCCGTGCAAACTTTTTTATCCATTCACCGCCGCTTTTATTTTATGGTTATTATTTTTATTACCACGTCTAAACACTCGGTTGGGTACATCCTCAAAATGGGATTTCACGGGTTCAAACCAATCGCTGACCCGTCACCCCTTTAAATATAGCTTATATCCATTTATACTATCTTATGTATTTGAATTTTTTATTCCGGTCGAGTTTTGTCGAGAACATTTTACTAAGCAGACTAAAGAAGTACATGTTGTATTTACTAATAATTCTACTAGGGAACCATATATTATAGAAATAAACACCAACAATTATCCGTTGACAGGTGCCATAGAAAATATACTGTTTCATTTTCCACATAGCATTAAATTATTTGTTTTAAAGAACAACAATTATAGAATTTTTTTAGAATTTTTCTTTTCGCCTTGTGAATTTCAATAATTTCAGTCATCCGGGGCAACATAATACGCCGTTTACTACATTTATTTTGAAAATTAACAATTTTGCTTAGTATGTATTTTTAATGAAAGATATGACAATAACTTCAATAGTTTTCTGCAATTTCAAAGTAATTTTAAAGTCCAACGAAAAATTAAAAGTGAAAAAAAAATTAAAACGTTAAAAAAAATTATTGAATTTAAAAAACTCACTTGAAAGTTGTAATTCTATAAAGCTTAGGATATATAGAAGATAAGGTATATATATATATATATATATATATAAATGTTTTTATCTCAAAAAAACATCAAGTATTAAATATGTCTAGTATGTTAAAATACCCTGTGGTGAATAACGAATGATTGAATTGGTTCAGGGTCGTATAGTTTTAAAACATACATAAAACCGTTTAAAATTGTTCAATCTATGTAATTTTTCCATCCACTTACAAGTATTAAACTTTATCATTGTAGTGATGATATGAAAAGGTCATGTTTATATCTATATAAAGTTATTTAAATACAAAACAGTTTACCAGAATAATAGTAGCAACTAGTAGAACAGTTGGTACATAATTCAATAATTATAGGATTTCGGTGACTTGGTAGATTTATGAAATCATAATACTACAAAGATCGAGAAAATATTTTGAATATGTAGAACAGTAAATGTTGATAAAGCCAGTAACTAAGAAATATATGAAATGGATCTTTAGAGATTTTTTTAATGATGCAATTGATGCGATGATTGGTTGATATTCCAAAAGCTGAATTATATAGATTCAAGTGTGTTTTATAGTTATATCGAATAATTGTAGACATTGTAGATATAATAATAATTTGAATTTTATTTTTTCACTTACACAATCGATGATATATTTATTCATGTATATTACCGTTTATTGTTTATAATGGATTTATGAATACAACATAATGATGATTAAACCATAGGTTTTCGATCAACGCTTTGCATCGTCAATAATTGTATTTTATGTTCTCTAACTACATTATAATATTATAATGTCGGAGTGGTAAAATAGTCATCAGAACATTCAAATATCTAAAAAAATAAAAATATACTATGAAACTGCGAACCATAGTTTTCTATAATTATATAAAATGATTGAAAACAAATGAACAATTAATTGTTACTTTAACATAATAGTTTTTCAATCACGAATACATACATTAAGCCGTTGCACACAATGCATTCACAACCAGTGTTGTGCTCAGATAAAAAAAAAGTATCCAGATAAAGATGAGATAAATTAAATTTAAATTAGGTATCTAGATAAAGTTGGATTGGATAAATAATAGATCTAGATAAAATTAGATAAATTATTTAAATTTTATATGTGACAAAAAATTGAAATTAAGAATTAAAAACATGGTTTTCCCAGTAAAAAGTTTTTAATTATCAAAAATATAATTCAATTTTATTAACAACTTAGATAAGTATAAAATAATGCAACTGATGTATAACTAATTCGTATTATAAATATTTTTAAATTTGAAAGAAATACAAATTTTTTATGGAAGAATTATATATAGGTATTATAATATTACATATTTTATTTACAAATCCCTAAATTTGATTAAATTTTGAGTATTGACGAAGTATACATCGGTCTTAAATGCATATCAGGATAGGAGTCGGATTGGTTTGAGCTTGGCGTCTGAACGTTTTATTTTTTTCGGATACTATGCATGTTATGATTCTGTATTGACTGAAACACGTTAAATTAAATTTAAATTATTACACCACGTAACTTAACAATCAAAAAGCATAAAAAATATGTCATCTTCAAACATAATTAAAAAAAAAAACCTTTTATATTAATTCACAAATGTATACACTTGATAAAAATGTAAATAACAACATATTCTTGTATACCTACGTACCTTGCCAATAAATAAACAATAATAACTATCACTTAAAAATCTTTGGTAAGACAATTATTTAAGTACGAGCCTTATTATCACGACACCGTTGCAGTCGTTTCTCACTGATCTACACACAGTGTTGAGTAGTTAAGTAACAAAAAGTATGCCATTACCAAGGCTATGAATTAATGCACTTAAAATTTATTAAATATGCATGCATATATTTCTGTTTAATTATTGACTATCATTATATCTACAAGAAATATTGACATTAATAATTTGATTGATAAGTATTTTAATTATTAATCATAAAGAGGTAGATTATATAAAGGTTTTCAATAACATAAATCTTAGGTAAATAATTTGTATAAAATATCTGTACTCACAACCCTACTTTTTACTTTTTGTAATAAAATATTGATCAAAATATTTATGGTATAATAGTTAGATTATGGTATCGCAGAAGACTAATCTAATATTTTATATTTGTTATAAATCTAAACCGTAATGCATTGGTTTATATTTTATTAAAAGTTAATGTAATTATATATATATATATATATATACGTAATTACCATATTTTTGATTCGTAACACGTGGGCAAAGAGAAATGGTATCGATAGCCGTTTCTTCTAGGTTCAAAACTGACGATGTACGGGATTCTTGAAATCATATGGAGCATAAACATTGTCGACGGATAAACCCAAATTTTGACAACAGCTTTGGATGCTTTTAATTTTAGAAGAAACGTTGGGGTTGTTTGAAATATTGGTTTTGATATTTAAATTATGTGCCCTGATTACTATACCGGAACCTGTACACGAATCTTCTGAGTACGCCATTAGACATTGACCTTTCAGGATAGTTATATCGTTTGCCAATAAATTTGGAAAACCTGTCATATCAACACATTGATCACGACTAAACGCTATCGTTTTGTCGACTTTATCCTTTTGATTCGTTACTTTTATCCTCATATCTTCGTTCTCTTGATCGGCGCTAATTTTAAAATGTTGTATTTTTCCATTTATCACCTGTTGTCTCTTTGGATTGGATGGCTTCTTAATCTTTTTATTGGGGGTTCCAGACACTGGTCCAACCCTTGATGGGTTGAAATTGTTTAGTTGTTCTGGATCATTGCGTTGTTTTATATATTCGGGAATATTCACTAAGCCCATACTATTTTCGAACGACGTGAAAAGATGAGAATTTGGTTGGTACATATCTTCGCCATTGATTTTATAAACAAATGTGTGATACATATCAAAACTTTTTGGTCGATAAGACTGTTGACCATTATTTTGGGGTGCTAAATAATTGATTTCAACTTTCAAATCAACACTCCCACATCCTATTGCAATGAAGTCCCTCATTCTCATTTCCATATCGTAATAACTTGACATGAACACATTTTTCACGAGGAAATTCCTATTTTGATAACTACCCATGGGCACCATATTGTAGTCTACAGCCGGTCCATTGAACTGTGAACCAATTATGTGACCCTTTTCGTCATTCGGACCCGTTCCATCTTTTGGTCTTTTAATAGCATGCATACCTTCCATTTGGGCTTCAAACGCTGAACCAAAATCATGACTATTGCCTGGTCTATTGAGCGTATTCAGTATAGCGCGTACTCTTTTCGCAATTTTTGTCGTTTTGTTTTTTATCTGGATCTCATAGTAATCGTAATCAGTAATTGGGTTTCCAGGTGGAACATTTTTCGGATATCCTTTTTTTAATTCACCAAACTGAGCGTTTGAAAAACAGATAAATAAGAACACTAACAATAAAATATTAAATGAGCACATCATCTTCATATTCTTAACAAAATATACACGTTCACACACTGCCGGTTAAAATATTTACGGTTAAATCAAATTAAATAAAGCAATCAATGTTAAAAAATAACTGACGGTTTCTGAATCGAACATGAGCGTATTTATAATAAATCGATTGTTAATGTAATTATGCTCATTAATATAATATTATAATATTTTATTACGCATAGATAATGGTAGTTAAGCATGGTAGTTATTGGATTTCCCCTTGATAAATAATTTGAACTCAAGAGCATTGATTAAACAGGGAAATTACAAATTTATTAATTATTAAGATAATTTTTATTTCAAAATAAAAACTGTAGGTGCATTTTAATAATTAAGTAGGTAATTAAATATTTTAAATTGTAAATTGTTTTAAAAATATTATGTACGTAATCATTCATGAGCATATTACAACAGTTAATGTTTATTTTCTCAGATAACTCCCAAAGTTCAAACGTCTTATCGTGGGAATATCCAATGTTTATTAACGTTATGATTGTATTAAATATGATAATAATGTACATTACAACTATAAGTATTTTGTAATTTACGTTTTTTCGTAATTAGTATGAACTTATAAGTATTTCCAATTTCGTATTTAATAACAGAATGCTGCAAGTGCATATTATCATTCAATAACGTCACCATCTGTATTTTTGCTTTATAAATATTTATATTTATATACATGAGTACAATAGTCCACAGAGATAATTATATCAGTAACTTATAATTATTTGACCGATGTAAAAATACTAACAATTTTTTTTTATTTTAATTTTTAAATTGTTATTTTACTAAAGCCTGATTATGTGCCTGGCTAATAGGTGTTGTAATCAATTTCTACTATATTAAATTATTAAAATATCATAAAAAACATTTTTAATACATACGTGATATCGTTGATTTTATAACATAAATAACTTACTGCAAATATATAAAAGTTTAATTGCAAACTGTATTTTGATTTATTTATTTATTAAGAAATCAATAAGTAAATACTCTTAGCTGTCCCTGTAGGAGTAGAATGGAGCAAATTTTCTAGGATGTTCCATAGTATTATGAATTTAAGGGGCGTCATAAACATAATAAGAAAAATTAGGTTTTTTTTTATTTTTGATAGGCACATATCGCACTTCTAAAACAAGATTGCCACAACTCAAAATTCATCAATTTTGAGTTATGATTACTTTCTAATAATAAAAATGTAGCTCTATAGAATGCAATTACGCCACATTCAATATAATTTTTCATTATGCCACTAAAAAGATATGTCAGTATTGAATAACTCAATTTTTTGGTAATTTTCAATGCAATAAAGTCATATTTACTTTAAGACATTATACATTTTTTAATTCTTCTAATTAATCACAGAATTCAAAATCCAAGACTGCCTTATTTCGATTTGTGGCGCTCTTGCACTAAATAAATTCTTATTTTTGTGTGTTGTTTTTAACGCAAAACAGTCATATTTAGAAATATAATGGTATTGCATTTCTTAATAAATAACAATTTAATGATGTCTTATTTTAATATTTACAAGTAATTTAAAATGCAACATTGCCGTATTTTGAATTGTGGCATAAAAATTTACACAGATCAAATTCATTACTCCCATATTTGAGTACATGATTGTTTTTAAATCAAATTTTTTATGCAATATAGCCACATTTCAATATATGGTAGTCTAGCATTTACTTATAAAATTGTAAAAGGCCATAAGTCTAACTTTTTGGGTTTAAGAGGGTATTTTATAATATTTCAAAAATCATACTATAAAACAAGTTTGTAAGTATTTAAGTTTTTAGTTTCAAATGCATAGGTAAAAAAATCTGTAAAATATTTTAGTTCTAAACTTCAAATCGTTTTTTCTCAAAACTATGAATTTTGAGTTGTGGCAGTCTTGTTCTAGAGGTACAATATAATTTTCCTTTTGTTCTGAAATATCTAAGATATGTACCTATCAAATTGTACATTATTTACTATTAAACATTAAATTATACAAATAATATGATACATGTTTACAATAATGTATAAATATTACCGAAGCATAGAATATTATTGATAAATTATGACTGTGTGCACTGTGTTGGAAGTAAAAATGCTTAATCATTGACAGTAAGTATCAAGTATTATAACAATTATATTTTCCACTCATTTGATTTTATATTATGACGAATATTATCTACGAACTATAATGAATATTATTTATACTACCTAAATATTTAATAAATATGTATGTTTTATTTCATGACAAATTCATAATCAATTTTAACCATTTTTAAAAATGAATCGAATTTGACTGAATTTGTATAATTCGGAAATCAATCATATTTTATATATTATATATAGGTAACTTAAAAGTAGAGCGCGGATTTATATGCATTAAAAATCAACAATAAATGTGCTAAATAATCTTAAGTTGGCACGAAAATAAGCACTATAATGTTAAAATAAACATGAATAATAAAAAATATACCTGAAATTTTTTTTTGCAAAAATAGTTTATTTTTTGATTAATTAATAAATACATTATAATTAAAAAAAAAAAAATTACTTTATAAGACCCTTATTTATAAGAAAACAATAATAATCAATGTATATAAAAAATTTATCCAAAAATAAATTGATTTACCTAAATGTAAATTGCATTGTATGACAATCATTTTAGCTATATTTTCAAATACCATCGATCAGTGTTTTTCAGTCAACCAATTTTGTCGTAGCCTTCGTTTTTTTATTATACTCTATTACATTTTTGATAAACAGATTTACCAGTTTGTCCGTTACATTTTTTAAAATATTTGTGCATTTTCAATCAAAGTGATGGAACCTTCGGAGTATGTCTCGATTCGAAAATTTGTTTCCGGTAAAAATCCAAAATTATACTTCAATGTACTATAGTAATTCGAAAATTCCAAAATGGCACTCATCAATATTATTTATAATTTATATAAAATATAAATATATTTAATTTTATGTTTAGGTATTTAAAATCAATGATGTTATCTAAAAGGTCAATGATTTTATCTAGTGCATTTTTACAACTGTGTGTCTATGTATGCTGTATATTTTTAGAATATTTCATGTCTTTCCAGTGCAATGTCATAAGATAATGTAAAAATATTAATACTTTTAGTCAAAATGTAGATGCCACAAATATCATTATAAAACTTTAAGACGCTTATTATTGAAGTATGAATTTGAAAATTAATCTAGAATAACCCAGGAGAGTTGTCGTGTTAAAATATTTAATGAGAATTGTTGTTGGACTTTTTGTTTGATATATTATAAATTGTTTTAAATTACTGAAAAATTAATATCTTACGATATTTGTTTATGTAATACACATATTATTATATATTGAACTTTATAAATGGAAGACGGAAAACCACCCTAAAGCTTAACCCTTTTCCTACAAGTAAATAAATTATATACAGATACTAAACAAATTAATAACTAAAACACTTTTAGGAGTAATATATTTTAAGTTTTTAATTAAATGTTTTATTTAAAACAAAAAAATAGCTCTTTTATGATTAAAAAAAAAAAAATTGGTATTTGAAATAGACATAATTATTTATTCAAGATAGTCAGTCTGAGGTCTTCTTGTATAAAATTTCACGTTCGGTATTGACGAAAAACATGACCGATTATTGTTTAAAACGTTCAATTGAAGCGATTGTGTAAGAATGCTTAGAGTGAATTGACTTAAAGAGTCGACTCTTTTCAGTGAATTGAATAAATAGAATCAGTGTATCGCAAATCAGTGACGCAGCAACATAGACAAGAATACTCAGTAATTCAATACAAAATTATCAAATACCAACACTGAAAATGAATTTAGATGTGGTTCATAATTCATCAACTGAAAAACATGTTATCATTTTATAATTTAATAGATTTGATTGATTCATTAATATTTAGGTTCAAATCATGACTTGGTTAAGATATGATTTGACTTATTAATTGAAAATTGAGAGTTGACTTGATGAATTGAATCATTGAAGTGAATTGAATTGAGTGAATCGATTCATCAAAGTGAGTCACAATTCCCATCTCTATATTAAACAATTTTAATCGAACACAGCGTAAAACTGATAGCGTCTATATATACGAAAGGTATGGAAAATATGTTCTACTAAATCAAATAATGCTATTTTTATTTAGCATTTTTTTTCATATTTATTGGGTATGTATTTTAATTGCATATTTTGGGATTTTAAAAATAAAAATGCATATTTCAGTAAATTTTTTTGAAACAATTAAAATAAACGAATATAAAATTATTTCTACAATTTTTATATATAAGTTTTATAGGACGTGGTAACTACAATCTACCACTCATTGGTGATAAAATATAAATACATAAATACATAAAATATAAATGTTTAGTTAAAAATAAATTATTATCGACTTCTCGTGTTTGTTCGGAACTACGATACCTAATAAAGTATCTAATAAAATACATTATTTGAAATTAAATAAAAACCGTGTTAATCAATCAGTACGATATTGATAAATCTCAGAGAATAGCTAATATGCAAAAAAACTTGTGGTTTACACTATAGAGTAATTTCTCTATGGTCTTCACCGAACGCACATAATCACTCATCCTCCGGGATGCTATTCTATGTAGCAGATGGTATCTTTAATTATAAGTGTATTGTACAACAGCAGTTATAATACAGTATAGGAATGCATAAAAACCACAATACTAAATTAGCAATCACTGTTATTTCTTATCATTACTCTCAACATAGTCAAATATATTTAATTTCAACGTCGGTCTGACGTGAGCAGATCCGCAACTTAGGTCGTAGACGGGTCTCCTATGTTGACGTCCTTCCGATTGTTGTGTGACTATATCCACAATTTTAGATGTAGTCGTCTAGGCTCTTTGTTAACGTCATTCTAGCTGTGGTGTTAACGTGTCAAATAGTTTTCTGCACACCTTCGACGAAGACTTCTATCGGTCTTAGTGTTCGTCGTACGTATTAATAGCTCAGTCGCGTGGGTGGCAACCATTCGAACACCGGGCCATTCAGGGTAAACGTTACT